TCCAAAGTGATAGTTCCCCTCTACTCAGCATTGTTTGGGGCTCATCTTGAATACTGTGTTCAGTTCTGGGCACCACCTTGAAGAAAGAAGCAGACAAACTGAAAAAGGGAGGGCAACAAATGATCTGGATCCTGGAAACAAAGCCTTGTGAAGAAAGAATGAATGAACTGGATGTTTACCTAAGAGAAGAGAAGAGAAGAGAAGAGAAGAGAAGAGAAGAGAAGAGAAGAGAAGAGGCATTGTGGTATCCAATGCAGAATACAAGTCCACAAGTGTTTGCTGAAGAAGATGTAAGCTGAGGTCCACTGGTACTTCAGATATAGATTTCAAAGAAGCAATCAATGGCATCCCAAGTCTCTATTCCATTCTTCCATTGGATCTGATGTACAAGAAAAAAGGTCCATAGTATTGGTATATGTGTATGTGTATCACTTATGATAGTCTAGAACAGAACACACTATTGTTATTAAAAATAATTATGTATGTACTTTGACAAAGGGAATTAAAACATTCATATATGTATCCATTTGCAGATCATGCCTAAAGGTCACCTGTTCAAAAACTGGAAGTTTCATTACATTCACCCATTGCATTATTACAGGTGGCCATTTATTCATCTAATGTTGTAATAGTAGCCTTTTAGTTCTCAACAGGATAGGAAAAATCCATTTATGTTGACCTTGCATTAGATTCCAAGAAATGGGCAGGAAATTCAAACGAATATATGGCTATGATTTATCTAAATTATTATCTTCTCCCAAAAGAAAGCTGTAATTAGGCATTGGCAAAACATATGGAGAAGAAAGCATTAAATCTCCAATAATTTGCCAATTAAATGAACCCTTAGTATAGAGTTGTTGTGGTGCACAGTATACTCAAAACATCAGTTTTTGATGAATTAAACATAACCTGAGATCCGTACTCCCTGATGAAATGCATAATATTGAAGCACTCCATTGGCTGGACAACATCAGTGTTCTGGTACATCATTGCAGTTATGCTTTATACCCTGTATATCGCATTTATTAATCCATATTAAGAATCTATAAACATAAATTGTAGGCCAGTGTAGTTTTTCAATCACAATCAACACTTCCATAACACAGGCAATTCTGTAGCTGTAAAAACCAAGAGGCAGAATCAAACCTAGATACTAACAAATGTTTCAGCTAAATGTATCCACCTGCAACTGTAGCTCACAATTTATATTTAGCCTGCAAAGCAGAAAATGGCAAAACATAATCAGGACTGGCAAGCTAATCCAAGTAAAAATTAGCTTGTCCATCCACCAAATATATTATTGCTAATTTTAAAATTTGGTTTTCCCCATCAAGTTAATTTTGTATGTGAAACTATGTTAAATTTTACTTAATGTAAAAGTATATTCTACAGCTGTCTAGCTGCCACAGCAGGAGGTGACACATTATGTACTTTGGTATGGCAAGAGTCCAATGCAATCTACCTGGGAAGGACATCAAAAAATGTAGATTACAAAATGGACCAGGGAAAGAAATCTAATATAAGTGGAAAAAATCACAATATAGTACAAATCAACAAATACCCTGATAATATAAAGACAAGAGTCTAATTTCACCTTCTATGATCAATCCTTTTCTATGACATTCATGGTTTGGCAGAGCACCATAAAAAGATATGAAACAAAACATTAAACTTCTGAAAACACTGGACATAAATAAAGTAATGCCACATAAAACAAACATTTTGAACTATTATATTCATTTTAAGTGTATTTACCTTACCCTATAAGCTTGATTTTACTGATACACATCTGCCAATTTCCCTTGAGATCCCATTAACCAACTTATTCCAAATGAACTTAATCATTTGTGATATGCCTCCTGGGACAAGAATTCCCAGATAAGTGTTTAATTGAGTACAGAGTCTAAATGACCCATTAGATAACACATTATGGGGTGCAATATATCCAGTAGGCATGCATTTTGATTTTGACAAGTTAAAAAAATAAACAGATAAAGGTCCAAAATCATTAATCATTTCCATATGTGTCACAGATAAATTTCCAATAAATGTTATCAAAGTCCTTCTCTGCATCTATCCTGTGTCTGTTCTGCCTTATTGAACCAAATTGGATTAACAACCAATCTAAGGTTATCAACCTCTTGACTATATTTAATTAACTCACCTGGTCCACTTGGTCAAACCTTGTAGTTTCTTTTCTTTTTTTCTCATTGCTTCTGTTCTTATGATATGGTTTGGTTGATTTTGTGTGTGTGAATCTATCTATCTATAGAGAAAGAGAGATAATGTATCACATTTATTCACTAATTGGCATTTATAGACATGTATCAGGGTCAATCTAGCAGATCAGCCTCAATAAGAAGAAAATAAAACTTTAGCAAATGTTTAGATCACAAGTAAATAATATTTTGTTTTGTTTTTTTACTGATTTTAAGTCTGGAGTTTATTGTAAGCCTCTTACAATAAACTTGAGCCTCTTCTGCAAATGGCTCAACCTGTAATTGAGGGAATACTAATGGTAGGAGGAATCCTAACAGTTTTAATATGCAAGGAGCATCTAGGGAGCCATAGGATTGCTTGGTTTCTCACTTCTGAATTCAGAAACTTGATCCAGCCTTGGGGATGGGAACCTGTGCCTGAATCTGCTCCCTACCTTACCCCAGCAGCCAACTCAGAAAGAACTGCACTGGTTGCTTCTCTGAGCTACCTTGGAGGAGGAATTCAGTGCAAGTTCTAGGGGTGGGGAGAAGACTGGTGTCACAAAGGTATAATATATCCTGGCAGCATCTCAGTCTCCTTCCTGTGCTTCCAAAATGGCATGGTTAGATAGATGAAATTTAATACACTTGTTTCTGGAAAGCCCCAAAATTTGTTGGAGAGGATATCTAAACAAACAACATCATGAAGACCAAGGACCTGTCAAAACAATTCCAGGATAAAATTGTACAGAAGGCTATATGAACACCCTCCAGAACATGTTAAATCCATTATTACAAAATGGAAAGAATATGATTCAACTGTGACTCTGCCTAGGGAAGGTCATCCAGCAAAACTCAATGAGCAGGTAAGAAGGGCATTAGTATGACAAGCAACCAAGGGGCCAGGGCTAACTCTGAAGGGATGATTTTCCTCAGCAGGAACTGGAATTTGGTCAGGACTGAAGACAAGATGGGTGAAGCCAAATGCAGGATAATTCTAGATGAAACATTGTTACAGGCTGCCCTGGAGCTGGAACTGGGGCTGAGGTTCACTGTCTAGCAGGAGAATGACCGTAAACCATGGGTCCTCAAACTGCAGCCCGCGGGCCGGATTCGGCCTGCCCTGCCCTTTTATCTGGCCTGCCATAGAGGTTTTGGACTAGCTGCACATGAGTGGCGAGGCACCAGCTTGCTTACAAGGAGATCGTTTCGGACTCACTTGGAGAAAATGATCTCTGCGCATGCCCACCCGTCTCATTGCCTGTGCGTGCCCTCCGCCCGCACCGCCTTGGTGACCCACACCATCGCCGGCACCTTTCAACTGGCCTTCTGTTCAAAAAGTTTGAGGACCCCTGTCCTAAACATACAGCCAAAGTAACACTCAAGTGGTTTCAAACAGGAACCTCTATGTCTTTGAATGCCCCAGTCAAAGCCCAGACCTGAGTCTGATTGTGAATCTGTGACAAGACTTGAAAGTAGCTCTTCTCCAGTGGTCTCCATTCAACCTGATAGAGTTGGAGCATTTTCACCCTGAGAAATACATAATCCAGATTCCCAAAACTGATAAAGACTTACCCAAGAAGACTCACAACTATAGTTACTGCCAAAGGTGCTTCTATCAAGTGTTGACCTGGGGGTGGGGTGGGGTGGGGTGGGGTGGGGTGGGGGCTAATACTTATGCTATTTCCAGGCTGTAACACAACAAAATGTGAAAAAATAAAAGGTGATGAGGGAGTGAATACTTTTGCAACCTGTATGTTTCATACTAAACCTGAGAATGATTTCAGAAATAGATGAGTATTGGACTTGGAGTCAAGAGATCCTGGTTCTATAAACCTTTATCAGCCGTAAAGCTCACTTGGTAACTAGGCCATTCACTGTCTCCCAACCTAACCTACCAAAAAGGATTAAGGATAAAATGGAGAGGAGGACCATGTCAGCTGGCTTGGGTTCTTCATAAGACAGAAGAAAGTGAAATACTGCTTTAGGTAGTTTTTTAAATTAATAATATATAATTGTAATATGTTACTGTATTCCATACCTTTGCATTGCTGCTAGATTTTATGTGGGTTTTACTTCTTTTCTACACTGTAGTTTTAAACTTTTAAAGCATATCTTAGGTTATGGTTTTAATTGTAGCAAACTACTCAGGAAGTTTTGTCTGTTGGGTGGTACAGAAATCTAATAAATAAATCTAAGGAGGTAAGAAGAATAACAAGAAGCATGGCAAGAGTCCTGTGCTTTTAATAGTTGCCATACAGGTAAACTTCACCCTCACTGGGCCACTTCACCCTCACTGCGTCTCCATGCCAGAAGGTTTCTGGCTGATACCCGTTGAATGCCTGCCTGTCTTTCGCTCAGGGTGTGCCATGGCACCAAACGAGCGAGCCAAAGCATCCCCCTTCCGCGACCGGCTGAGAGGGCCGGCCGGGGACCGGCCGCCCGCCAGGTAAATCCAGATTTCCCTTCTTTCCCACACCAGCCGGAGTAATTGCCCACTGACCCTCCCTGGCGCAGGGCTCCGAGTGACATCACGGCCGGCGTCTCGCCCGCGCCCCTGACGTGGGCTGCTGCGGCAGCCGGTCACCCAGGCGGGTCAGGGGGCGGGCGGGCCGGCCGGTGGGCGGGCCGGCGGGGAGGGGAGGGCAGCCCGGGTGCGTCACGGCCGGGTGTGGGCACCCTCCGCGGCCCGGATAAAGGGCCGGTGGCAAAGGGGGCAAAAGGAGAACCGTTCAGCAGCTCCTCGGGCTAGCAGCCGGCGGCCACTTGGAGGCGGGAGGCACCGTCGGTAGCAGCGGAGGGCGAGCGAAGGCTCATCCACGGAGCCCGGCGCGGGAAAGCGACTGTGCTGAGCGGGGCTGCCGCAGGGACTCAGACTGGGAGGCGCAAAAGTTTGCAACAGCGCCTTTTGCCTCCTCGACGGGCCGGAGCAGCCTTTCCTTTCCCAGCGAGGCGGCTGCAAACTTCCTTTGCTGGGAGAACTTTGGCAGGAGGCGCGCTGGGTTTCTTTCTGCAGAGTTGAGCGCGTGTAGCTCGCTCGCTCGCTCGCTCGCACTCGCACACACACGTGTACGCACGCACGCACGCACCCCGCGATTTGCTCCCAAAAGAGGCCCGAGGTAAGAGTTTCTCTTCGCCTTGGAAACCGGTTGCTCTTGGGCTCTCTGCTTATCCCGGCAGTCCTTCTCTCCCAGTTTGGCGTCCCTGGCTAGCAGGAAAAGAAAAGAAGCTCGTTTGAACCGCAGGACTTGCGAAGCTCGCCTGACGGACGCCTTCGGGGACCTGCCAGCCTGCGGCTCTCTCATTTCAAGAGCATCCTTCTCCATCGAGGGAGCTTTGAGGGCCAAACGTGGAACTGATTCAGTCCACGAAGAGTTGAATATTTGAGAAATAAAGAACAAAACAGTTGTGCATATCTTGCAATATATGGAGCTCTGATGTTTTTAGAATAAGGGAAAACGCTCTTTACATTTTATATCTGATATTCCTTCAAAATAGAAAGATGGCAGGAATCAGGCGAGCAGTTTTAAGCATACGAAGGGCCGAAAATCTCAATCCATTGAAATACTAGCAATGGGATGATCGGTAGCCATGTGCAGATGACCCTGAAGTTTTCTTCAATCATATTCTTTATCTGCCTGTCTCCAAATAACTTGGGCCATAGTTTTACCATGTAATTCTTGAAAACAGAGATATACTTGTGACTGCTTTGCAAACTAAGCATTTGTGTGTTAATAGCAATGATATGCATGCAAGTTTCATTGAGTTATCTCTGCACCTAAGCTCAGACTAACTATTCAGGATATGTATTGAAGTCATTTTTGAGATGCCCCTTACCATTTGAGTTATGCATTTAAAATACCCTGAAGTAACTTGTTATTTGTAAGGTACCATGAACTTAATTTGTGGATTGAGAGGTTTCAATAGGAAATTAATTTCAGTGGGAAAATTAAGCATATGCTTAAATCTGTTCCAGTTGAGATCAGCAAGATATGCAGCATGGTCTGATGGAGGTTTCTTCACAAGTTCAGCTGTGTTTAATGAGATTTACTTCTTAGAAATGGTGTTTAGGATTGCAGCCTTAAGGTGTTCACATTTGGCTACTTTAAGGCTGCAGTCCTAAAAATTCTCATGGAAATATCATAGCTCATCCTCTTGGATGTTTTCTTATTCCTTCTTTTAAGTTCACTGTGTATCTTCATGTTAAAAAAAAACATTTACAAAATCTTGATTCTAAGAGGACAGAATTAATCAGTTAATTATATGACTGCCATTTTTAGATACCTTCATGAGAAGAATGATTTTCATTCTTAGGTGTACATTCAGATAGTTTTGTACAGCATACCTCTTCAGCCTTCAGTTCATGAAATCTTCAGTATCTTCCTTGGTTTGCTATTAGTTCATCTGCCTTAAAAACACATGCTTCCATAGTCCTCTTTCAAGTAAAGATTTACTTTTGTTATTCAATAAATTAAGGCATAAAAGTTTGCTTTATGGTAAGACTGTCCCAAGACCATCTGGTAGTGGATAGTATACAAAAATTCTAAATAAATAATATAATAAATAAATACATTTCTTAACCTCAGAATCTCTTTGCCCCTTTTTACTGTTTCAGCCAATAGACCTAGAAGAAGGCTTTGCCTTGGGGTTAACACAGAAGAGTTTTGTGATCCTTCATCATGAAGAGTGTAGCAGAAGAATGGTTCAGAGTAACTGCTTTGCTATTTATAGTTCAAGCAGTTGCTGCTATGGTACTTCCCAATGCAACATTGTTTGAAGAGCTGCTGGACAAATACATGGATGAAGATGGTGAATGGTGGGTCGCCAAGCAAAGAGGAAAAAGAGCTATCACTGACAGTGATATGCAAAGCATCTTGGATCTTCATAATAAATTACGGGGTCAGGTGTATCCACAAGCATCCAATATGGAATATATGGTAAGGATGAACTACTTGTAGTTTCTACAAATGGGAAAAAGAACAGCTGAACAACATAGAAGTATTACCTACTTGACATCTGTCTATTTTAGATCAGTTATTTCCTGTTTCTCTTTTCATAAAGTCATGATTTCAACTAAGTACTATGTCTTTTTGTAGCGGGGGGAGGTAGTGTTCAACAGTTCATTCCAGAAGTACTGAAAAGTTCTATCAATTCCATATTTTAATGATGATGATGATGATGATGATGATGATGATGATGTAATGGTAAGGACACGTACATCATTAAGCAAAATGCTGTAATGATTATCAAAGCTTGGTGTGACCAGAACTTAAATTCTTAACTTATATTGTCTGGAAATGACTATAGCATGTATTTAGTTTTCTTCCTGAAAACTTGTGAACTTAAAACTGCTTAATTTTGGCAGCATTATTGTATAGTATAATGGTATGTTGGACGGTTTCTAAAAATAACTGTATGAACTAAGTTTATAATCTCCAAGATCAATTTGCAACATCAGTGCAGGAAATTGCAAACCTTTACTTTCCAGAATGGTCATACACTTAAGAGTAAGTATCATTGTGTTCAATGGGGCTTATCTATGCTGGATTGCAGCCCTAGGCTACTTGATGGACAAGCTTTCCTCTGCAGCTTCATAATGACCTTACTTCTTTCTGAAAAAGCTTAACCACACATTTATTCTTACCAGTCATCTGCCAAGGAAACTTACTCTTGCAGAGTGCAGAGAATTAGTGGCTGAGAAACAGAGCATAATGGTGTACATAGGAGTTGTTTTCCATGTGCCTCCCCATCTTATACATGATACTGGGAGCCCTATAAAACTGCAGTTACCTTGCACTCATCAAGAGATGCTGCTGCTGACCATACTCAAAAAAGTCTAATCCGTAAGGATATTGCCCAGTCATCTTCCTTCTCTTGCTTTGCTAGTTTGCTGGGGCGCATTAAACACATTATGAACTGTGCCTGAACTTTGAAGCATTTGGACTTAGCTCATAATGGGGCATATACTTTTTGTAGTACATATTCAAAGTCCACAAGTCAAAATTTGCTGTCACATTCTCTGGAAATACTTGAAGGTGAGAGAAGGGACAGTTCTGGGTGCTTCAAACTTCCCTAGCCTTTTGCTACAGTGTTCCCATAATTTATGTAGTTTATAATGCCTAATATTTATATAGCACTTCAAACACTGAAAACAAATGCTTACAACAGTCATGTACTATTAATTTTGAGGAGTTTGAAATGCCTTGACTTGTGTACGGCCATCAAATAAGACCCTGGCTCAGGTTAAACTGAAACTATGGATTTACTGGCTCTGAAAATGAAGCCTTAGTTGTTCCAGCAGACTAAATCTGAATTATTTAGAATAATATGCAATGTTTCATGGGAAGCAGATTTACACATTACTCTTTAGGAGTAGATTATGCATTGCTTTCTGCTGAAACCAGTTTTCACAAGCCATCTTGTCATTTGAAATCTATTTAACACATTGGTGGTGAATTTCCTTTATGGCTCCAGATCCCTATTGAGCTATTTTTATCCCACCAAGCTAACATTAGGGAAAGGCACTGGGAAAGATGGTGGATCTACCTGAGAATGCAGGAGATTAATCTCTTTGTAACATATTTAACAAAAGTTCTTACTCTGAGAACACACCAACAGTTTTTTTTTAATGAGGCATGGCCCATACTCATGATAAAATAACACTTGTAAACATAACCCCTATTAAATAACAATTATGATCTCTCCATGTGTATCTATTTAAATACATGAGAGTGCATGTGCATGTGTGCGTGCACACACACACACACACACACACACAGTCTATGCAGAAAGTCATTTGCATAGGGAAAATGTTCTGATGCCCTAGAATAGTGGTAACAAATGTTTTGGCCTGCAGCTCTTATCAGTCTTCACCATTGGCAGAACTAGTTTAAAGCTGATAAAACCATAGACCAGAACATCCAGAGGGCCATAAGTTGCCTACCACTGCCCTTGAGAGATCTAATTTAGTATTTTTATTTCACTTGTATTAGGTAAGCAACAAAGCTAAAAAGAAAGAAAAATAACCCATGCTTTTTTGTTTTGTTTTTGTTTTTTTTACTAATATACTACTAGTATATGACCTGAAATACTCAAGGAAAATTTTAAAACAAACTTAGTGGGATATAAGGTACAATCCTATGCAAGTTTTGACAGGAAGTTATCCTACAGCTCCAGTATTAGCCAGCCAGCTATGCTTTCTGTCTAAACATGCAAAAAAATTTATTCTTAGATATTATATTAGTTTCAACAGTATTGCAATATTCTAAACTTTTAAGGACAATAAGATGTACTTCTTAGTCCCTAGACAGCATTTGAGGCGCCATATGATAGTCTGTATTCCCCAATCTGAGGCTGGTGACAGCACCTGGACACCAACCTTGAATTGGAGAATTACCTTGAAGGGGAGAACTCTCCCTCACCTTCTTGTTGCTGGTTCAGAAGGAAATGTGCCTTCTGGCCTCCAAAATCAAGAGGGTCAAAGGGAATGTGGTGGGCAGGGATGGGAGAAGACTGGAGAGATCAGGATACAAGCTATGCAAAAGCCTTTCCAGTCTTTCCTTCCCCATCAGGCTAAAAAAATGCAGGGTATGAAGATGGGAAGCCACTTAACCATCCGCTTCTTCTCCCAGTCTTCATAGGATTGCATTCTAAATTGAGCAGCCTGAAGAACTGTTCCTTGATAGGCTGATAACCACTTATCCAAGTCAACTTTCTTCGACTAACATTGTTTGTGCACCTTCCATTTCACTCTGAGACATTTTCAGTGACATGCAGTATAAGTATGCTAAAGATGATCACCTGAGAATAATCAATTACATATTTGAACCTGCAGGATTGCTTAGTACGTGTGTAGTTGCCATGCATTAAGTTTTATTAATGAACTTACAAAATCATTTTTTCTATAGAAAAATAAAGCACTGGAAGTTTTCCACCTCACATCATGCCCTATGCATGTGGTTTGGTTGAACAGAACATAGTGAGCAGCTTTTATTTAGCCCAGTTTTGTCTAGTTTGATTGACAGGAAAGGGCTCTCTAACATTTTTTTTTAACTTTACTTTTTTTTGATGAGCTGCCCAGAGAACCCTCGGCCTATGGAGTAGCATAAAAAAACAATAAACAAACAAATAAATAAACATCTTGGCAGAGGCCTTCCAAATCACCTTGTACTTGATCCTTTCTAACTTGACCAGTCAGGGATCAAACCTGGGAATTTATGCAAGTAAACTATCAGCCTACTGCTATCCCAACAATAGCAATTTTGAATTTTTCCATGACAACTTACCTTTCCACTGCAGGATCTTCTATCAGTTCTTGTTTCTCCAGCATTGTGAGAATTACATTTTAGGGATAGTAAATGTACTGATGTAGGAATACCTTGACTAAAGTTAAGGAAGAGGCGGCTGTTGCTGTTCGTCCAGTTATTGTTGTGGTTGTTGTGATGTGCCATCCACTTGTCTCTGGCTTATGGTTGACCCTATGGATAAGTGCCCCCCAAATGATCATGTCCTTGACAGGCCTGTGCAGCTCCTATAAACTCAGGCCTGTAGCTTAATTTATGAAATCTATCCATCTTGTAGCTGGTCTCCCTCTTCTTCTGTCTTCAACTCACCTAGCATTATTGGCTTCTCCAGTGACTCTTGCTTTTGCATAATGTACCTGAAGAATGACAGTTTCAGTTTCATCATTTTTTGCTGCACATATTTCACATGCATCAACTTTCTTCACTGTCCAACTTTCAAACCCATACTTAATGACAGGAATACAATAGTGTGGATGATCTTGGTCTTGAAAGCAATATTGCCTGTTATTGTTGAGTTAGAGACTGTGACCATGAGAGCTATCCCTTGAATAAATAAATATAGTGGTAAATGTACTATTGCTGCATCAAATAAACAGCAGGAGCATGTTAAATTGAAGAAGACAGTGCTTCCAGACTGAGTTTCTTTTCTCCAGTGATCCTAGTGCTTTGGCAGGTGAATAGAATACTGATATACTAGCTTGCTGTGTACTCTTAATCTATATGTCAAAAGTGCCCCAAGACATGCTGTTCATCGCTGTTCCAAATATAATAGCAGACACCATGGAAAACAGCAATTGCCATGCAAAATTGTGTCACCTCTGTGAGGTACTTCCTGCTTTGTTTCTTTGTGACTACCATCACTGAGAGGGCTGACACCTGAGGATGCTGTTGTATTCAAGCAAGGATAGTTACATCTGCCCCACTTGTTAATAGTTAATTGGGATTTCTATCATGATGTTAAAGGTAGGGATCATAAAAAACAAGCCCCCTGTTTAATTACTTGTAAAGAAGAGTAGGTTAAATGGACAGAAGAATGAGGAAGACTTCTAGCTTCCTAGGAAAGCTTTCTTTCCTGCAGCAGAGAGCACATCTCTCCTTCTCTGTAGTGGGAAATTAACACTATTCATATCAGTATATGCTGATAGAGGCTACAATGGTGGCCACTGATAGAAATAGCATCAATATGCAGCCAGGAATGTGTAGTCTCAGTGCACTCTTCTGTAGGAAAGGAGACTGCTAGAGAGTTCTGCTGCCCCTTCCTGAGATTCCAGGTAAGCTGGGATAAGAATACTTTGGATTCCTTGGATTATTTGCAAAGATCATGCCTCTCTGACATAAATGTAGGGACACTGTTTCTGTCATCATTTCAGGATTATCTGGACTACAAAAGTCTGCCCAAGATGTTTGGATGAATAAGAAAATAATTGCTACTCATTGCAACTGAAGCGCTCCTGCAGTGATAATTTGTTAGCTTTAAGAACAACAGCCCTACATATGTAAACAGACTCACACATACAACTTGATTGTTACAAGATATGGCAGGAAAATGCTCTGCTTCCTAACTGATTGTTTTAATACAATCACAACTAGGTGTAGTGTCATTGCTCTATACAGAAAACCTCTTGAAGTTCTGT